ATGGATGGATGGAGAACAGCAGTTTTCCAAAAGGTAACATCTGCTTGTGACACAACAACACGTCTTATTTTGGGCTGCAGCTGTGAGCAGGTCAGAGTTACAATAACACAGAATCTAAAAGTTGTTACATGTGAAGGCCTCAAGAAATAAAAATCTAAAGTACGGAAATACAAATAAAACTCTGGTAAATGTTCTTGTAAAAGAAAGAGAGTGTTTTTCGTTTCTCATCTCTTCAAATGTCAGATAGAGAATATTTCTGCAGGTCTGACCCTGACTGGAACCACCGACTTCACAGATTATGTGTGATGTGTTTCAGGAAAAAGCTGGTGCACGTTGTGCTTCTGGCAAATCTGAGACAGCAGGAATAAAGTACAATATGAAGGAGAACTTTTTTTTTTTTTTTTACCTGTCTCTGAGTTTAAAGTTGACCTTTAATTTCCCTCTGCCAAGTGAATAAAGACATGATGTAACAAGGACAGGCTGCACTCTAAAAATTACAGTCACACCAATCACTCAGTGGGATACGACTTGGGAATTAAATGTCAAACAGCTTTTCCATTTTCATTTCCACGTGGTCATGGAACGATCATGTAACCGTGTGAAAATGCAAATTGGATTACAGCGTTTTCATTTTCAGCACATACATATGTGGGAAATTACATCGGTACTGTGGAGTTATATCACCCAGTTCACATTATCATTTTAATGAAGAGTGCTTTCATGACATACATTTAAAAACCACGTGACTTCCACCACAGTCACAGCGCAACACTCTGCTAACTGGGGTTGTTAGCTTGTTGCTGATCTGTCTATTCTGGTGCAACTGTTTTTCTCTCCAATGTGATCAGATCTGACTTTTTCCTTACTTGTGTGCTGCAAAAAAGTCAGTGAATGAGATGACGCTGAACTCCAAACTTGAAATGCAAAAAAAACAGGCAAGCTTACACCAATAATAAGGGCCAGAAACTGTAAAAAATATGTGTGATGCTCAGTTTTATCTGGAATATTAACCACACTTCAGCTTAAAATCCTGGATGTAATAATAATTATTATATTCCATTAAAATCACTTTATTCGACATGCCCCATTTAAAAATTTGCCAAAAATAAACCGTTTGCACCAGATCCTGTAAAAACCTGAACATTCTGTGGCCCTCAGTGCAACCACGAATGATTCAGCTGTGAAGTCACGTGCAAAGAATTCAGAGACGACTCGACTGAACTGCAGGCTGTGTTCACACAGAGCAGAGAAAAGAGCGACCGAAAGGAAAAGTAAATATACTTGAGCAATAATGCGATGGCTCACAAACAGCACCCAGAGGAGCAAGTTGTTGGAAAATACATTCAGCACGGTGAAGCATCTGTCTTGAGTCGATGTGCAGAAAATGCAAAATGTGTCGCTGTTGTTGAAATGAAGGAAATAAAATGTCAAAAGCAAGCAGAGGCACTATTTTTGGAAAAATGTTGATTCCAGATTTTCTTCATTTTTTTGTAATTTTGTAAATTTGCCAATTTTGTAAATGATCAAGAATGTCAACTCGTTCCTTTGTTTTGTTTTTCATTTTTAGGATTCATGGCATTATAATTGCATCATACTGCTAAGAAGACATGTTTTGAGTTCCCTCTACCTCTAGTCATGGTTGTGCTGTTAACATGATGGTGCAAGACTTTATATTGCAGTGAAAAATGTGCCTCCGGTGAATAAAAATGTGTCAGAAGCAGGAAAAAAAAAAAAGTTCAGAGGGTGAAAGCAAATTTACATAAAACAGGGAAAAGGTGGAAAGTGTAGGTTCCCTAAGGCTAGCTTTCTATGTAACTGTAACTGAGTTTTTAACATTTTGTGTGTTTTTTTTAATATAATTATTAACTTACAAAAGAAAAGCACATGTCTCACACCATAGTATTTATATGGTAAAATGTCAAGGAGTCAGATTTTTGTCTTAGTGTTTTGTCAGAATGTGAGGCGGTCTGACGGTTCTGAAGACGACACCAGAGGCACAGAGTCGAATCAGTTTGTTTATTAAACACTTAATCAACTTTTTAATACATTAGAACACCGTAATGGGCTTTAGCTGCTTTCGTCAGAAACAGACCGGTAGTTCGAGCTTATATTGTCTTGAAACCCAACATTCAATCTCAGACAGCGGAGAAAAATAAACGGCTGTACCTGCTGAAAACGTTCGTGAGGTGAACACGAAGCCGACGGCTCCCTTTAAGTCACATTTGAGTCATTGAAGTCCGAGTATAAAACCGACGACTGCACAACGCGTAAGAAGCCGGCGGTGGAATACATTCTGTCAGATCGTTGCTTTTCAAACCGCTGTTGTGCCGTTTGAAGGTGGGAAAAACACTGATTGTCGATAGAAACTGAGGCGCGATCAGCATGAGGTGAGAACAGAACGAGCGATCGGGTGACCACCAACTGTGATTAGCAGCAAAACAAGGTGTTAAGGCAAAACAATTTCACTTTAACAGTCAGTGAACCCGTTTTTTTTTTTCAGCCAATCCAACACAAGGAACCCCTTCAACACAAGCACTGCATATTTCTATTTCCCAAAACCATCCTTACATTTTTCCCCCATTTACAAACTGCCTTTAGACAATCTTACAACATCTCCATCATCAGAATCAGAAGCCTTCCACCTGTTCATTTTCCAAACAAGAACAAACACTGAGCTGAAAACTGGAAACAGATGAGTTTTTAAATGAAATAAAATCCATCTTAAAGCCAAACGACTTCTCTATTCGTGTGTTTTTGGTGTGTTTCACTGTAGAAATATGCTGAATGGCTGCATGGAAAAATTTAACAAAAAATCTGAAGAAGTATTGAAGCATTTTTAAAAATCTGTACCTTTCACACACAACACGGTATGAACAGTGTATTTTATGGCACCATCCATGTAACATGAGCGGACTCTTGAGATCAGAACCTTGAAAACGAACAAATGTTTAGTCGAGTCGACCAGAGAATATTAGAAGATCTAAAATATTCTAGAGCAGTTCTGCAAAGTTGATTTCTACATTTGAGGAAGTTTTGTTCTCCTTTCTACCGGAGGGGTGTACTGTGAAGCGAGATTAACGAGCTAACGAGACATGTTGAGCGTAAAGTCGAGATTCAAATGTTATAAAGCGGGCTCCCTTTAACCTGCTATATCACCATGGTAACTGACGCTGCAGCGCTAATGGGCTACGGACGATTATTTTCTGAAGTTTCAAATCGTTAGTTGTTATGTTGCCATGGGAACTGGGATGCATCCAGTTGGTGATGCAAAAAAAAAAAATGCAGCTTTTTGAAAAGGGTAATTTACCTCAAATTTAATCCAATTTGATTCTCCTGCGAATCACTGCTGCAAATATTTATTAAAAAGTTCTCAAGGTAACTAATCATAAAGTGGCTCAGTGCTTTGATAACACAATAACGCTTGTAGCTGCACGATAGACGCATGCGCTCAAAGTTTGTGTTGCTCGACTGCTTATTAAGGCAGAAAATGCGTGAATGTTTTTTCGATCAAGCTAACACGAAGAAAGCCCGGCTTTGTTGAACCTGCTTCCTAGTACACCCCTCGGCTAATGCGCAGAAAGCCACGAATCTACTTTACATCTGAAATGATTTGTCAGATAACTCAGTTCTACGAATCAATAGACTGAACAAGTGCTTTGGATTAGAAGATAAAGCTACATAAGCACATATTTACAGCACTCATGCGTTTGTCTGCTCACAAAACCGACACATATTGAGGAAAAACTACAAAATGTCCACTAATAAAGTCACTCGGGACACATCGGGAGGCAGTTTACTGTGACAACTAAATTCTAACAGTTTGGCAATAAAGACTTGGCGGATATATTGTATTTTCATTTGGAGTAGAAAAGCTCAGTTTACTCCGTCTGTGTTTAATTTACAGAAATAATTTCACTTTAGGACTAAACTTGCTGTATATCCAGTAAATCAGGCAGTGAAGTTTTAGCTAAAACAAACAAGCAAACAAGTGTTACTCAGGATTACAAACACATACTGTATGAGTAACATGAGAATCACTTATCCATGCTCTTCTTTTCCAATAAAATATAGTTTCAAATATGATCTGTTCATGCTAGTATGTCTAAGCACATGATGACAGTCTATAAACATACAGTTATCTGTCTACACTTAAAACTGCTCTTATCTGGTTAACTTTGAGTTAATCTAAGCAGCGGTTTTCTTTAAAGGGTCATTTTTAATGAAATAGCAAAGCAATTTTAAATTAAAATTATCTCTCATTTACCTCTAGTTGTATCCAGAAAATTTAGTTTGAGGTTCTCACAGCGCTAGAAAGGCTAAAAATGTGAAAAAAGGATGAAGTAGGTGGTGTTTCTCCTTATAAATTAGCTTCATTTTAAACGATTTTCTTTTTTTTCCACCTACGTTACAATAAGATGGACCCTGAGACCATAAAGACTTGGTCAAATAAAACTAAAAACCATCTCTGGACACCACCAGAGGTCTGGGAGCAAATGTGTTTTTCTTGTGATTTTGAAAGAACTGATCTCTTGAATTAAATGATTTAATATTTGGACACTGCAGCTGTTATATGCTGCCAATAAAGAATAAAAAAAAATTTTAAAAAAGAACAAAAGAAAAAGACAAAAAGAAAAGACATTTGGACATTTTCAATCGCCTCGAGCTGATTTTATCTGTCTGGAAAGTCGTCGCTCCCACAGAGTTCAGACTTTACTGCACAATTTTCCCCTTTCTGTGATTATACTGAATGTGTAATAACTCCACATGCGATTCTCTAACACATTATCTCACACAGATCATTAAAAATAGGGAGGCTGGGGGGCAAGCAGGAGCTTCTTCTTCTTCATTCGTCTCTAATTAGGGAAGTCGGATTGTAATTCACAAGTTTTATATATATACAGTATATGTATGTACACCTACATGTTCAGATCTGTTTTAATTCCCAGAAAACTCAAGTGCTTTTGTCAATTACGAACAATTATTTAACTGCTCAAGTGCTCATATAGTCATTCTGCTCTTTAATAATCTTCTCACACTGAAGAATACAAAAGAAATCAAAAGCAAAAGGTCAATAAAATCTGCTTTTAGCTACCTAAATAAAATGTTTTCTTCAATAAGGCTGTTTGGTAAAACACATCTCCAATTATAGCGTAGGACTTTTATAGCATTACACATCTTATGTTGTATTTTTGTGTTTTTGCAAGTAAGAAACGTCGCCTTTCTGAGAAAAAAATCCTAGTGAGAGCATAAAAGACCTTTTTTTAAAACAAACTCTTACAAACACCGACATCCTGTGTCACTGAGAAAGTTTGTATATCAGGTTTTCTCTTAAAAAAAAAAAAGACTTTATAGATTTAATTTGCTCACAAGATCTTCGAATGAGACGTCACCCATTAAACAGAGTTTTTCCACAGCAGGGCTCTAGAAGTTCTTCTTATATACATTGTGCCTAATAATTCACTTTATCACTGCATTTTCATTGCTAACATACTCCTAGCAGCTACGCTTAAATCTACCTCAGCTTCAATTTAGTTCTTATTTAGAGTTTTCACAGATAAGGGCTAGAATCTCTCCTCGACCAGGGTAAACAAACACTGAAACACCTGGAAACCAAAGAACCTATGAAGTAAAGAAAGCCTCCCTGTGTCGTCCTGTTCTTCCCGGCAGAGGGCAGTGTCGCACCGACTGGAGGAGACGTCGCCGGATGTGTCCATGAAACACTCGTCCTTATAATTGTACAGTTTCTCTTGTTCTAGTGATAAAACTCCACATCCTCTGACGTCCGTTCATGATTCAGTTCAAACACGAGTGCAGGTTTTCTTCTCCCCTCGTGATGTCGTTCTCATCAGTTTAGTCTGAAACAGTCGGATCACCATCTGTGGAAGTGCCGGCTCGTGCACTTTCCCTCTTTTGTGCCTTAAAATTCAAAGAAAAAAAAAAATCTAGAACAACCTGCATGTTTTCTCAGAAGGTTTGAATCGACTCCTTCTCTAACGCTCAGTGTCTTAGTCATCCGCCTCCTCCAAACAATGCCGGACCAGAGAGTTCAAATCGTCCGTGTTTCTCTGCTGATGTGGTTTTGAGGTGGAACACCAAACCTTTGAAGTCCTTATTACTGCACTACTGTTTTAGGAGCTTCTGTCTCCTCCAGCAGCTCTTATCAAACTTATACCTCCTCCATCACTTCCATGACGATTGTCCTCGGGCCGTTCAGGATCAGGCTGCTGACGGTCCGGTAGTCCTGACAGAGGACGTTCAGTCCGTTCACCGACACCACGAACTGGCACACCTGGAGACAGACGGACAGAAAGAGGAGATGTGGGTTTTAGCTACTCTCACTTTCATAGGAACCACACAGTTTATGAGAGGTGGGAGCAGATCCTCGAAGAAGAGGGAGATGAAGGAACACACTTTCAAATTCAGCACATGGCTCAGAAAAGTCCATTTCTGGCCGGGTTCAGAGCAATACTTTAAATGTTAACTCCCGCTTGCAGCTGCAAAAACCAGCTTGGTCCTTCAGAGTCGCCATTCAAGCCTTCAGCAGGTTGGTAGTTATTGTTGCAGTACTCCCTTAAAACTCCACTGCTGAGTCATTTTTATCGCCTGTCCTTGAGACGTTCTGTCCTTTCCTGCTGCTATTATTAATTACAGTGGGCAACACTTTATCACACACCAAACAAAACTCTACTTACTGTCGACCTGAATCAAGAAGTTGGACGGGCTTCCTCAACGATAAGTGAGAATAATCATTTCATGAGCTATGAAGTTCGTACACTACCCCACATCTCCTCTCTCATTTAAAACTTCAGTTCAAAGTCTAGAGATGCAACAGGAAAGTGATTTACCAAAATAAAGCAACGGCAGCTTTGATCAGTGAATAATCGTTGCACCCAGAAACATTCTCTGGTTGAAGCTTCTCTGCTTTTTGAGGAATCTAATGCTAAAGCTAATTATCTTAACAAATGAACCTGGGCAGTGGAAGATTTCTCAGATTATTTTCTGAACATTTATACATAAATAAATGATTGTTGGACTAATCAGACCCACTACAATCCATCATCATTATCTGATTATCCTGACTTGTTGCCTGAATGATGTTTTTGAAAGTGATTTTGAGTTCAGTGCAACTATGCAATGACGTGTTGCTAATACTTTCTGTCCAAAAATACAACATCTAATCCAGCTGAAATTTATATCTATATTTTTATAAGCACTATAGAATTCAGTCATTACTCCCAAACAACAGGGTCGATAGAAATGAAAGGTCAAAGTTGTCCTAACAACATGTAAAGTGTGTTGATTGATTTACGACTTGTATACTGAGCAACGTGTGAGAAAGCGTTCCACCTTAAAACTCGTTGGCAGCTAGTAACGCTAAAACAGCAGTAAAATATCCCTTCATTTATTTGGAACAGCTAAAAAGGTGCAAATATAAATGCAATAAAATACCCTCTGACTTTATTTATGCTTGAATTCTTCAGTCATCACTATTAATTCATCAGCGTTTGCATCTAAAGTCAGATTGCAACTCATCTATTTACAATTTTGCGCCTAATTGCTGGCTTAATTATTGCCATATATCTAAAAAAAAATCAACATAATCTAGATTAGAAGCTGTTAATAAATGTCTAAAGCTCCAATAACTTCATGGATTATTCACAAAGTCAGTTAAAACCGTCTGATATATCTAAACTTGGCGTCAAAGGTAGTCAAACAAACCACACCGTTGGTCAGTCTGCAAAACGGACTCATTTACAGGCAGCACTAATCTTCCACAATCTTTTAAGCCTTTATTTGGAGTCCTCCTTTTAAAAAAAAACGAACCTGCACGGCCATAGCAATAAACAGTGATAGAGCCAAATGACATGAAAGGCTGTTTGACCCGACCAGGTACAAGCTGACATCCACGTCCCGGTCCCTCCCCCGCCACGCCTCAACGCTGCCTTCCTTATCTCCACTTAATCGCTGCTCCAACTGTTGCAGATAAAAACAAGGCTTCTTGTCCAAACTGCCCTCAAGCTGCTGCTCTTGCAACACGATGCTGCTGCGGTTTTTTTTGCGAGCTTTGCACAGCCTGATTCACTGGCTCGCAAGAAAGTTTTCCAAAAGCTCTGCAGGACAAAAAAACCAACAAAGAACAAAAGCACCTCCTGATATTTATGCAGCCTATAAATCAACAAAGTGCAGACGTAGACAGGTGAGCGATGATGGAGGAAAAGCTTTTGCAGATGTTTCAGGGAAACTACACTCAGGAGTCGACATACAGAGTCATCTTGCAGCTTTTCAAGCCTTAGATGTGAGAAAAGCGAAGCTGCTATTTTGGATTATTTTCACAGTAATTGCTGCTAAATGTCTTTCCGGTGCTACTCAATGTTTCAGCAAAGGGAAGCTCAAAATAGGCAGAGGAAATAAGGGGAAAGAGAGATTAAGAGTGATAGAGGGAAGGAGGGGAAAACTGTTAATCCTGTGCTGCGGAGGAATTTCTCAAACATCCTCCGCTTCAGTCAAACTACTCTCCTTCACATGCTTCTGCACATACAGTCTTTTTCTTCTTCACTTCCTTCTCTCGCCGTTCATCTTTTCCTTTCAAGCTCTTTAACTCTCCCCTCCACCCCCTCTTTCTGTGCCTTCTCCTCTTTCAGGCCGTGGGGTTGTTGGTCTTGGCTGAGGCCCAGCTCGACTCAATGGCTCCTTGCACTGATGGGGTTAAAATCGGTCCGACGGAGAAAAAGAAACAGAAACAGGCGCAAAGAGACGAGGTACAGGGAGAATAAACAGCACATGTAAAGAGGCCGTGCTGAGACATTCGCCCGTACATGAAGAGGTTCTTTACACGATCCACTCAGGCGATGGACAACCTGAAGCCGTGTTTGGATTAATGTCCACTGAGGGATGAAAAAGCCAGAGAATCAATAATGTGCAGGACATATAGACTAGATAGAGAGAGTACATGAGTATATGTTGATTAGAGAGGATTTATTTTGTGCTTCCTAGCTGAGAATGTACAAAGAAGTATGAAGGCGGAGCAAAAAAGTTAAAAATCTGCCAGGATTTCCTAACGTGAAATCTGTGTTATGAGTGTTGAATGTTGTGTGAACTCTCAACACACATTTTAACAAAAAAATTATGACTACTGTGCTCTAACTTGACTCATCGACAAAAGTTTCTGCAAATACGATGATTGCATCCTTCAAAGTGTGGACAAAAATCGAAATGCTGCGATTCTACTCTTCATCAAAAGTAAGAAAAACAACTGAACCATGGATTGATGGGAAAACGAAGACTCTGCTTGTTCTGCAGGAAAGTTCTGTTTTATATAAGAGCACAGTCAGTCCAGATCAGAGTGGCCACAAAATGCAAATTACTACTCCCATTAACGGTAAAATATGCTCGTTCGTGGCATCCCGATGGCCAAACGGTTACTGTGTGGGCACGTATTTCCTGAGCAGCAGATCCCTGGTTCCAATCCTTGCCAGAGACTATCTCTTTTGGACTCTCCTGCATTTCTCGTCCTTCTTTCCACCGCTACTGTCAAAAATAAAAGGTAAAAATTCTTCAAAACAACTCACTTCCTACTGCAGTCTATAGCAAACCTTTGACATGCAGTAAGGACTAAAAATGCAACTGATCGTCCGACATCAATGATCACCTTTAACCTGAACGTAAAATTAACCATCAACCAGTGAGACATGTGGGGAAAGTCAGCCTGCACAGTGTCTGCTCACTGATTAACACTTATCTTCTTTGTTTATTTTATTTGATTTTTTTTACATAAAATGAAATGCAAATGTATTTTCTGGTCGGGAGCAGTGACTTCCTGGAGTGCACTGGTTGCCTGGCAACGTCACGGCAGCGACAAAACTCCATGAACAAGAGCCAAAATGTCAAACAATGAATTCAAGAGAAAGTATTTAATATAGGATCACATCAGCATTTTTTTTTTCCTCGATTGGCTATGAGTGTGTGCTTGTTTAGCAAAATTAGGTCACTCAGTAATACATGCTTCATATACAGCGCATTAGATAACTTTTAGGGTTTTTTGGAGATCACAACCTGCTACAATTCCTGAATCATCAAGGCCAGAATGCAACCAAAAATCTGTCGAGCGCGACTAAACATCTTCATCGGTTCCCTGACGTTTAACAGGTCTGTCTGTTTGTCTCAGGTAGCTGAAATTGTTAAGTTTCAACTTTGCTAAATCTGTCATTGGAACATCTTATTTCACTCTTTTCAAACTACTTTTCGGTCATACGTCTGTCTGAGCTGCTCGCTGCATTAACCGATTGGAGACTAGAGGCTTCTGTGCGCTCAGTCGTCCTGCTGGCATCTATTGACGTGTTTTAGGAACATGTTTAGCTAAACTGTAGCGTCTACCGATAGTCTGCACGTGTTTAGCTTCAGAGAGCAACTTGGATTACACCTTTTTCCCAACACCATCCACCACAAATTAATTCTCAACTTGTGGGAAACACTGAGACGTGATAGAACAGCCAACATGATGCACTGTGTTTATTGCAGAGTGTGACCAAAGCGCTTTGCCGTCCGAGCATCAAAATGTGAACATTTCTTACACATTCCGACCTCTTTTCTGCAAAGTTTCCGTTCATGATCAAGTTCGCTGACTGGCGTCGGCAAGAACCTGAAATCCGAACCTTTGTCTACATTCACTGTCACTCGTGTGTGATTTGTGTAATTTACTTGCAACGTTAACCAATCAATCACAATATGAATTCAACTCAGTGTTTATTAGTTTTCACCAGTGTTTCTGACAAAGCCACTGACACTTGATACAGGCCACAAAAGTGGTCCTTACATGCTGCTGGGATACAGGAGTGATGTCCAAACTGATCACAGGTTGATTTAATACAGAAACAACATCTGTGCACTTGAAATCATTAAACCTCACAGTAGAACTTGTCATGGTGCCTCTTCACTAGCTTCTTTCCTATGAGGCTCTCGACTCGCCAAAAAAAGAAGTACCGATGTCCTCTTGTTGCTACAGTAAGAAACATTAAGAAGCTTCACCTGGTGGAGCAACCAGGTACTGCAGCCACTCTACAATACATGAGGTGTGTATGATCTAGGACAGTGGTATCAGATACTGAACAAACTAATGACTCGGGTGAGATCAGGGAGAAAGAAAACTTGATCGGGACATGAATAGTTTCAGTGCCAGGCAGCAGAAAACCAAAGCAGTGAGGAGTCAGAAATGATGAGAACATTTAACACTGCCGATAATATCGCCAAAGAAGAGCTAGCTTTCACTGACTTTAAGTCTCAGATCATTTATATGGGAAAAAAACAGCAAAAGGATGCTTTTCGTGGATTTGAAGAAGAAAGTTTGGCTCAACAGCTGTTAAAAATTGCAAAACAAATAACAGTAACTTAATTTAAGCAATATTTATCTGCAACTTTATTCCAGTTTACAATTATACACATATTGTTTTAACAAATTATCAATGTTTATGAATGAAAAATACTTTATTTATCCCAGAAGGGAAATTCAATAAAGAAGGAATATTCAATTGTGGGAACTGGCAAAAAAAAAAAGGCCATGTCTAAAATGTATTATTTGGCACCAAAAGGTCGAGTAAAGAGTTCGTCTGGAGTTCTAAAATTGTAGAGTTAAACATGCTTTAAATTGAGCTAAACAAACCTTTTTATTCAAGCGGTACAAATACTACAACACAACACATGTTCAGTACACACACACACACACACACACACACACACACAGGCGGCACAAATGGACACACAGTGAGACAAACAGACGCGCTGCTCGACCTGCTGCGTTAAAAGTCCATCAGAAGTGGCTCTAAGAGTGAAGCACTGGACGGTTACACAAGTGCTCGGATCCATTAGGACAATGCTGAAGCGTGTGATGGAAAAAGATAGAGAAAGAGAGGTCCTACTAGTGGCGCTTTTTACTGCCCACAATCTGAGTTCAGGGGCGTTCGTTCCTCCTTCGGCCTTTTACCTGGACTGTAGCGCCGACACCTTCCAGCGCTGCACTCCCTCTCCTCTATTGTGTCTCATTACGCGTCAATAAAACCACTCAGGTGAGGCGGAACGAGAGCAACCTTCTAGGAAATGCGATTAGCTCCTCACAAATAAAGTGGTGAAGCCGTTGCACACACACTACTGCACACTAGGAATTTAATCTACAAAGAAAATCACATATATCTGACCTAATATTCTGCTTTGGGCTTGGTTTTTATAGTATGAGGGGCTTTAGCACATAACAGATCAAGCTACATCTTCATCCAAAGTCAGAAAATTAACCTAAATCTCAATCTGTCAGTCCATCAGTCCACAATGCGTCCAACACACTTTATGAGCGTGACTTTGACCATGATACGTGTTCCCATGGTAATAAACAGTAACCAAAGCAGAAGTGATATTATTTCCACAGGCCATTTCCTCTTTCACCACTTATACTTGAGCTCCTTTATGTCGACCTCTTTCCTCATCTTCGACACTCTTCGGCTCATTTGTATTCTCTCTAACATCACATTTTCTTCGTTTACGTAACTCTATTTTGCTGCCACTGTGATAAAAACAGCAGCAATTTTCTGCTTTAATGTAAACATTACATGCTCATTTTGATCGCTGCAGTCGCATAAAATCCCTGTAACTTTAATTTTGGAGAAAAATAAACTAAAAAGCAGTGAGACTGACATTTCAGAAATAAAATACTGAGCCAGTTTTCTCAGCGCCTGAGGAAATATTCCTCCATCGCTGTATCATTTGTGGCCGTCCCCACAGAAGTAACGAGTTTTCATTCATTCTTCAGAAGCTGACATTTTCATAATACGATTTCCAACCAAGAGTTCAAATTATTTTTTTCCCTCTCCTCTCCGAGTTATTCACATTTTTCTGTCTCCTGCTGCTTTTTTTTTCATCCAGTCTCTCCTCTCCCTCCTCGTCTCTTCATGTTGTGGTTAAAGTCGCTATGTTCTGCATTCCCAGGATTCCTCGCTGCCACTCTGTTGACATACCTTCATGCCAGCTGTGGCTGCAGAGCCACCATCACCCCGTGTTCCTCCTCCGGGATTTTTTTAAACTTTGACAACACTTCTGCGTCTCCTGACTGAAGCTATAGGAAGCCTCCCTAAACTCTTATTCCTGATATTTTCCAGTTCCTCCCTGTCAGTCTTGTCTAACACTTCACTCGCAGAACATGAAATTAAAGGAAAAAAATCTCTCGACATAAAAATGACTGAGTCTCAGTCTCTCAGAGTAAAATAACAAGGCCTCCCTTCTCTGCTCGTTACATATCGCTGCAGGTCAACAGCTACACAGTCATACAATTACATGCACATTTCTCCAACAGTGCTGCATTCAACAGATCACATGCAGTCACTATTTTTGTTGTTAAAATTTTCCATTGCTTAGAACCAGATGTTTCTGTGATGGAGCTGACTGCTGCAGGTTGAACAAGCATGCATGTAGCAGACATATTTATGACACATAACAGTTTCTGCACTGCAATGAAAATGACAAACTGAGATCAGGAGATCATTCCAGGCTAAACTCTGCAACTCTGCCTCCTCATTTAGTTAATTTGCTTTAATTGAATGTGCTTTATAGTGCTCTATACACACACATCTCAACCAAATGCTTTGTTGATGGATGCTGTGTTTTGCTCTAGATCCACGTATTCAACCAAGGAACAAGATCTCTACATCAGAAGGTGCATGCGAGGCTCTTTGGCGGTTCTGGACTGTAGTGGGCTGGGCTGCCTCTACACGACACAAATCACCAACTTCCCATACATCTGCATACACAAACGCTGATCTACTGCAGATGTATAGAAACATGTCCTCCAACATGACTCCAAGCTGGCTAGTAAGTGGTTCCAGGGTTTTCCCTGGTTCAGAATAGTCCTTTGGGGGCTGACTATGCATGAATACGCATGACTGGTCCACATACACTGAAGACAATGAGTCTGTGTTGCCTTATTTGACAGAAATCTGTGACATTTCCTGTTATTTCTGACGAATTGATACAAAAATGTCTATTATTCTTGAGTAAATGAGGCCCCAAGTATCAAAACTGGGTAAAAAAAAATCTATTTCTTTTGTAAACAGTCATTTCTTGTTTTTGTTGTTGCCTAAACTTCTTAGGGGAGCACCAGCAATCCTCTATGCAGGAAAAAACACAGAGTATTATACAAACAACTACACGTTAATGATGTCTGCTTATGTAACTTCTCTGTCCAGACCTCCATGCCTCCCTGCTTTTAACCTTCACACTACATCAGAGCATGTTCGCTACAAGCGCTGACATCTACTCTCCTTTCTTTGGTTCATCTCTTTGCTCTGGGGACGGTTAGATGGAGGAGGCCCACTGGGATTAACAGGACTCCGTACATGTCTCACAGTCTTACCTTCATGCCAGCAGCAGCTGCAGGTCCACCAGGGTCCACGGCCTGGATGTGACAGGGTTTGCTGCCTCGCACCACGAAGCCCCAGCCCACAGCATCACCTACGATCTGAGAAACGACAGCAGCAGATGAAAAGTCAGCATGTTACCTCACTGCTTTTTAATCACATGTTCTTCACTGTGAACTGTTTCCAAAGCACTAAATGTTGTTCAACCGGGTCTGTAAATGACTGCATGCACATTCTGATTTTTATTTCTGTCATGTGCAAACTGATGTGGCATGTGAGCATGTGTGTGTCTGTGCCACATGCATATGCACATGACTCAGGGGACGTTCCTCATGCATCCAGATGTGTGTGTTGAAGAGACAGATGTGTGATTGTATCTACGCTCGAGTTGTCTGTTAGAGCTGAGTTCAGTGTGTTTGCGTGTCCTACGGTGAATGTCTTCTTTATAAAAGGTCCTCCTGGCGTCTGCAGCTCCTCCGGACTCACTTGTCGTTTCAGAACTGTTGAGAAACACACAACAGCAGAAAATGACTTTTGCTGCAGTGACAGAGAGACAAACCCACAGTGCGGTACGTGTGTGCATGAATATACAAAACATATGCAATCAGGCATAAACAAATACACTGAAACAAAAAGAATAGCATTTTGGGTTTTTATAGTTTTTTTTTATCTCTATATTTGATCAAAAAGAAGTGTATTTGTGTGTGTAGTAATTGCTAACGGTGCCTGGAGGCTCGCTGCTTCCTGAAACAGTATAGCTTTCCTTCCCCTCCTCCAACTTCCCCCTAACATTACTCACTTGAACACGACTCTACACAGGGAACAACTGGACTTCTGTGCCTCAAAAATTCTTTCAGAAACACTCCTTTCATGCAGATAAGTGAAAAATTGACAAGCTAGACAACAGAGGGTGACGCTTACCAAGGATGCTTGAATACGTCAACACACATATAGTGTACACAACATTACTTTAAACTTGTTGCATGAAAACGTGTGCTGAGAATGTTTAAACATCTTCTAGACTCCAGAGGAAATTATGCCGTTTTCTAGAGTGGGAGCGATTATATAACAACATATTTTATTGCAATTTAGATTTTTTTTTTTTGCCAAATAATTTTTTTATTGTCATTCAATCTGCCTTTTTGATGATCATTTCCATCCCATGTGTCCATGTTCGGTTCATCATCAAACCTTTAGAGTGAGGCGCTTTGGTAAATGAACCATTACTGATTATCTTTCTGAGACATCATTACTCCCAATTAGGATTTGCAGATATTTGTGATGTAATAATAAAAAGCAGTGAGAATTTTAGCACAGATGTTTGAGAAAATTGTACTTCTTTACGGCAATCATTGTCCCATTACTTACAGTATATGTTTTGTATTTTGTGTATATAGTGGCAGGAAATATGTTCATGCATTGTGCAGTTTCACAAACAATAAGCTGTAACTGAGGTGAGTAAAGCAGAACCAAGCATGTGGGATGATTTAGAAACATGGTACAATAAGTTTGCATAGTGCAACGTAAACAGAGTTTATACTTCAGCAGCTGTTTTATACTAAAATATGCAATCTAGACAGAAAACATCCATAAATCCAGAAAATATGAGAAACAGAACATTAAATTAAATGCTTCAATCAACTTTCAAACTTGACAGAACATTCCTTATAAAGTAGAACCAAACAGACATTACAACCAAATATTTAAACAAAAAATAACGCTGAAGAACATCCATCCATTATCTCTACACCTTAATCCTCATTAGGGTCATGGGGGGCTGGAGTCTATCCCAGCTGACTCAGGGTGAAGGCAGGTTCACCTGGACAGGTAACCAGTCTATCACAGGGCTACACTTAGAGACAGACAACCAAGCACACTCACATTCACACCTACAGACAATTTACAATCACCAATTAACTTCAACATGTTTCTGGACTGTGGGAGGAAGCCGGAGAACCCAGAGAGAACCCACGCTGCACGGGGAGAACATGGAGACTCCACGCAGAAAGACCCCGGTGCCCTCACTGGGACGCGAACCGGCAACCTACGCCGAAGAATATGTTTGGGCTAATTCATATAACTTATACTGTATATGTAACTTATCTTATTTTATATTTAAATCTCTTCTATTTTTTATTTTTTTGCTCTTTATTTTGTTCTTTATTCTATATTGCACTGAAGGAGCTGCTCTTAATCTCATTGTACATGTGTATAGTGACAATAAAGGCATTCTATTCTATTTAGAAATGGTGTCGTTACACAGTTTGTCCGACAGTTACGTATAAAACTCTCAGCTCTGTCTGCAGTACATGTAGTTGAGCAGATGGTGGTGTGGAGTCAACAGGTGTAGTTTGTGAAATATAGTGCGGGAAATTTAATTTAAAAAAAAAGACCCAATCATTTTGGTTTTTCAGTGTCACCCAACACTATATAGAAAGAACATTAGCTGATAAATCCTTATCTGCATTTTTTTTTCTTCCCTAAAATCAGCGTCGGCTCAAAACATCCAGCGTCAGTCGGACTCTATCATAAAGTCTGTGTGTCGTGTAAACTGTGTGTGTGCTGACAAACTACTTGTGGTGCAGCATTTAACTCTAATCTGATAAGGATGAGGAAGTGATAAACCTTTTATCTTTTTCATCTGGACATTTTTACAAATCGCTCGGCTCTGACAGGACGACTTCTCTTTAACGCTTCGTTATCTGTCGTTTCTGCCTCGTTGCCAAAAACACTGTTTTTGGACTTTATAAATGCACGAAACGACACTTTCACTTGGATCATCTGCTGTGCATGGTTTATATTTTTAGACCATATAGCCTCCCGTCATGTGAAACGCTCGATTACCAGAGTTAATATGAAGCAGTGGGGAAAAACCCTGATGTGTGTGTTTGTGTGTGTGTGTGTGTGTGTGTGTGTGCCTTCCTTTTCCTGTCCATTGTGTGTCTCGTGTGTGTGTGTGTGTGTGTGCTCGTGTTGAAGAGGCTCTGCTGGTACAAAGAGACTCCGGTCAAGGACTGTGTTTGGATTTGACACATCAAAGGAAACCTGAAACACCCACACACTCCTCTTAAATGTGTCAGTCCTTCATTCAAATCTGCACTCAGGAGTTAAAGCAGGTTCCTATGTGCACCGGCAGGTAAACGTCGTCAACAAGGAGATCAACATCACTTGCCACACTCGTGTTCTCAGTAGTTGTCCGTTTCCTGTGCGGCAATATTTCCCTTTCATGTTCAACATTTTGATTACATGTGCAAAATTTCACTCTTATAAACAACAATTTCAATATATTGTGCAATATATTTATTTTTTAAATTTATTTTCAGGTGCAATATTTCCTTAATTGTTCTATTGTAGCCATATTATTTTATTTCTGTATTGTATCGTACTTACATTTTATTGATTTTCTACCTTTTGTAGAGAAATCTCTGGCACAAGAATTTCCTTTGGGATTAATAAAGTTTCTCCTTATTTTATCACTTGGTACAAGCAGCACATATGTCTCATCTTCTGTAATAAACATGAACTCATTCAGTTTTCTCTTCAGCATTTCTTCACTTTAAGTCCACCAAAATTAAATTCCAATTCCTCACCGTGGACATTTATTCCCATTTGCTGATGACTGGAGCTGATCTGCATGCATTGCTTGCTGTTTCCAGTTTCAGATTTCATATAAAATGACAGCTTTAGAAAAGCAGACACTAAAAAAATAACTTTTGACACCTCTAGCGTTAAATGAGGAGCTGTCCTCCACAAAGCCCGCTCTGTGTCCGTGTCATCTCACCAGATTTGGGGTTGCAGAGGACCGGCGGGCTGCTGCTGAGCGTCGGGCTGCTGCTGTAATAACCGCTGCTGCCACAGCTGCTGCTCATGCTGCTGCGACGAACTCCCACCGCCACCTTGATCTCCTTCGTGGGGCTCACTGAGTCAGAGGGAGACACAGACTGAGACGTTAGACTGAGAAACAGACGGAGGAACAAAGAAAGAGCTAGAGGGAGAAAAAAAAAAGCAAGTTTATAGACTAGAATTAATTTTTACAGCTAATTGAACCTCCCTACCTCCAGGTACAGAGCAGCACCACAGCAGGCCTTTTATTTAAATAATATTCACACGAAGAGCTCAGTCTAATAACAGCTCCTTGTGTAGCCACCTCTGTAATTTCTTTAACAAGAACGAAATTTAAAATGTTGTGCTTTTCCACCTCAAGATAAATATTTAAGTTTGTCTCTTTCTTGTGCTTTTGTTTGGTAAGTTTTATGGCACTTTTGTGAAGAGTAAAAACAAAAAAACAACTCCAAACCAGGTTCAGCTCCAGCAAAAGTCGGCTAAAGGCAGAGAACTAGATTCTACGCTACGGTCTTTCTTTTAGATTACAGTGGAGCATCTGAGGCCACATTGGTTCCCAAAAATCTTTTTTTTTTTAACACAACTAAACTGCATTCTCATTTCCATTTCCACAGAATTCTCTCACCAAAAGGCAGGACTGTGACGTGTGAGAGCCAATAAATCCGAGTAAAAGTTTCATTTTTGTTTGATGATTTTCACTTCTCACCTGCTGTTCGGATAGGTTTAGGTGTCAAGTTAGTCACAAGCATAGACTGTATAAAAGATGGACGTAGCAACCGGTCCCGAAAAATGCAGCCAACCCGGAAGTGTCAAAAACCTACGTCCGCTTGCTGCTGGCTCCAAAAAGCCCTGGCTCCCATAGACTTGAATTGGAAAAGAAGTGATCACAGATCATGAAATACCGCATTCCTCCAGCTCAGGATTTTGTTCTTATTAGTTTTCATGGTCAGATCCAGAGATCAGGTGGCCAATCTGAAAATAAATCAATACTGAATTTTTAAAAATCGTCAACATTTTGTGGGGCAAGGGGCGTGGCTGGTTTGATTGACAGTCGGCAGCGACCATACAGACGAAGCGAGCAGAAGGCGGTAAATGTGGGCGGGGCAGAAAGGGCCCGCCTCTCAATCCATCTGACCAATCGCTGCTCCTATGGCTCCGCCCCCCTCAGACGATTTTTGCGTCACTGGCTCCAAAAATCCAAGATGTCAACCAGGAAGTAGCAAAACCTTGGCTTCATGTTCTCAGTGCAGAAACCGACGGGTGACGTCACGGTAGCTACGTCCATCTTAATACAGTCTATGGTCACAAGTTAATCACAAATGCAGGATTAGGATTCAAGATTTAAGAGTTTGTATTTGTCGCATGCTCATAACAGCAAGGGCAGTGAAACGCAATGTGGTTTTCAAGGCTGTGCAGTGACAATAATTATTAGTAATCATTAATAGTAATGAAGCAGGGATTGTGAGGCTAAACATTATATATACAGTTGAAACCAGAAGTTTACATACACTGTATAAAAAGACACACAACCTCTATTTTTTCTCACTATCTGACATTAAACGTGACTGAACACCAGCTCTGTCAGGAGGAATTCCAACTTTTGCGAGAAGCTTGAGGAAGGAAAAACGTTTGACCCAAGTCATACAGTTTAAAGGCGACGCTATCGAATACTGAGGAAGTGCATGTAAACTTCTGACTCTGAAGAAAGCAATTTAAAAAAAAAAAATGCTTTTAGCAAATAGAAATATTTTCGGTAATCCTAACTGAGCTAAAACAGGAAAAGTTTAGTCTGATTTAATGTTGGACAGTAAGAAAAAAAAAGGTTGTGTGTCTGGTTTCAACTGTATATAATAATAATGTTTAATATTATAGATCTTGGGTGATCTGAGCTCTAAGTACATAAGTCTTTGTTTAGCATTGAAACGCGCTGTCACGGTAATCGCAAACGAAAGACTTCACTTCAGCGCTCTGTTTGGGAATAAATAAATATATCAGTTCTGTTTGCAAAGACTAAATGTATTCTGGTGCTGTTGTCGTGTAAACAAGTCCACACTTCCTCCTGTGTGGAGGACGTCAGTTGGCTAGATGGTCCTTTAATATAGACGGTGCTGGTTTAAGCGATCACATCTCGGTACATCCTGGGTGCATTCATATCTGTCCAACTGTGAAACTCCCACGAGATGCATGTTATTACAAACAGGATCCAACCACTTTACGCTCACAGACTGTAAACACTTTCCTGGAAACACAGAGTTGGATTAATAACATTGGAAAAAGGAGTGAAAAAAAATGGACATATCCAGTATTACAGACCAGCCTACTCAAGCAATCAGTGACAAAGTTTGAACTAAACCCGAAAAAGCTGAAAACTTTACAACTTATTCCTCAGAGTTGTGCTCAAAGTAGAGAAGTCAGTGGTTTTGTCTGCCTTCTTCTGCCTGGCAACACGAGCAGAAATCTTATCTTTCTACGGCAGACACCACCAAGGACACCACTCGGGTCTCTGTGTCAACAACAGATAAGGCAAAGGGGGGTAAATATGCCAATGAATCCAATCACCAGGGGCAATATTTAAACTTTATAATCACGCTGCTGCTGCTGCTTTAATGAACACGTGAACGTACAGTCGCAATAAAGGTTCTCTGTGGAGCATCAGGAAATGAAGCTCAGACACTGTGGCGCCTTCTTCATATGTCAGATCCTCTTATGGGAGGAGTTTTTTTTATTACTCTTGCTTGAAAAATGCCTAAAAAGAAGATTGATGTTAATAAACAAATTGGTCCTTCGTTCCAGCTGTAAAGTTTTCTGTCAGATGTAAACTGAAGGACGGGCGACTTCAGGTTTTATTGGAGAACATAAAACATCGTATAAATCCGTCTGCACACGTGTGTTCGGTTCGCCGTCTACCTGAGAGGAAGCTGGTGTTTCCTCCGTCCGAGTTCTGTTTGCGGAGACAGAAGGGACTGTCGTGGCTCTCGGGGATGCTGCGTCCACGCTCGTGAAGGAGTTCGATCAGCCGCCGCCGTCGCCGGAAGTTCATCCTGAACTGGAAGAGGAGCGGCCCGTCGACAAAGTGATGCTTGTTGGTGACTGATAAGGAAGAACAGCGGACATGCGGACAGCAGATAAGTTTACAGAGAAAGAAAGATGTAGAATTTCACAATATGCTGATGAACATTTATTGATGTCTTATCTGAAAAGTAAATTCTCTAAACCTTCGAAACTGTTTGCAGGGATGTCGTTTTCTCATCATTAAATCACGAACATGAACTTCATTACTTCTCAGGTCTGTGAAATGTGTTTTTATTCTGCATGTGTGAGTCAGCGTCACGCTCAAGTCACAATTACTTTGGTGGATTTAGTTTAGCACTAAACTCGCTGCCCCTCGAGGTGAACAAACACAAACCGGCCACAGAGAGCATCGGCCTCACATATCAGAGTCACGCTGATAAGACGAGTATATTTAAAGTAATAAACGTGTCAAGGTTAAAAACTAAATCACAGGAACCTGTCAGCTCACTGCCAGCATTCAGGCTCTGCTGTTGTTGTAGCTGCACATTTCAATATTAAAAAGACACGAAGATAAAACGTTTAAACTTCCAGATTCATGAGACTCATTCCTGCAGCTGAGAGTTGAGTCATCTTTTAGATCGGAGCTTTATCTATTCAACATTTTGAGTTTTTGTTAACTCTCCTTTTATGTGAAGATTGTTATTTACCACATTTTTTCCCTCAAACCAACCAGCTACAAACATGACAAGTGTGCTTAGAAAGCCAGGTCCCTAAAACTGCATCCTCCTTAAGTTCAAAATGAGTTATTTCCATTATCAGAGACTGAGCTGTACTGTACATAATCTAATTTAACTGGACAAACTTATCTGAAAAATAAAACAATTAATCTAGTGTGAGGCTCATTTCTGTCTCTTGGCCCACATTTGACCCTGATAACAGCAGCAGCTCATCTCAGATTTACAGACAACCTCCTTCAACAGAGTCTTCAGAAACCAGGTAAAGCTCTGAATCCTGAAGTCATACAGAAGAAATACAATAAAAAAATATATAATTTCCAGCTGTAGTTGTGGTTAAATCACATAAAACCAGACATGCTATTGCCAACCTTTCATAAAACATTAATTCTGTCGGTATTGTCTTAAAGCTCTCGTCCTCCACAGCGACATAAACATTTAGAGATTCAGTCAAACTTCAGCTTATTTAATCGAATAAATGTTTCACGAGACCCTTTGCACAGATGTAGAAACTGGTTCCTGTCAGATGTTATGATTTGGACTCCTGTCTTACTGAATGTCTCAGAGATTTACTGTTTCAAGCACTATATGACATTTTGACATGCTGTTAATAAATTATTAAAATAAAAACAAAATAAAATATAGGGCAAGATTATGTAAGCAAAATGTGCAGAGGTTCACCTCTGAACC